TCTCGTTCATCAGCGTTCTTGCCCTACTTGGACCACCTACCCGTACCTTTTACACGCCTTCGGGGAGTCTTCCTGGGCAAAATTGCGAGAGGGGTGACTCTGGAGTTACCGACGGGAGCCTTGTATGTTTGCATCATGGAGTTGTTTATCGAGCTTATCAAGTTGTCGTGTCCCTTCGAGGTTGTGCGTGCATTATCTCATTCCTTGCCTCCGTCCCCAGCCGTGCGGCTCGCGAGACGGGCACTGCGCTCCTGGGGCAAGCTGTTCCTGCCTTCCCTTGGGGCGATGGGAGGCGGCAGCAAAGGAGGTGGTGGCCGTGGCCAGGGCTTCGATCAACGGAACGGACCTGGAGGAGATCAGTATCGGTGGCCGTGGGTCAAACCTGACCAGCACCCAGACTCCAGAGATGGCGGACACCATAGGAGCCGTCGCAAGCACAAGAAGAGCAAGAAGGACAAGAAGCGGCCGAGGTCGTCGTCTTCTACATCATCATCGTCCTACGACTCGGACAAGCAGTTGAAGCTGGCGGAGCGCATCATGTGGAAGAAGGACCCGTCGTACCGCGAGTACGTGAGGACCAAGGAGGCCGAAAGAGGGACGAGGAGTTTGCGAGGCAGGGGCGCATCCTGGCGGAGGCTCTGGCACCAGGCCTGCAGGCGGTCATGGCGAGTGCTGTCACGAGCACGGCCCCCACAGCGGAGTTCCCGCCGCCGCCTCCGCTGACGGCGCCTGCCAGTGGGAGCTCTGGGGCCGCCCCCGCGGGCACGGCCCCCCCCGTGAGCACCGCACCTGAGGTGCTCACCCCGCTCCAGCGCCACCTCATCTGCGCGGAGCTGGACCACAAGGTGAAGCTCACCAAGGGCACGCTGGAGGAGCTCACCAAGGAGATCGGGCGCAAGTGGTCGCAGAGGGCCGTGGTGCAGCGCCTGGACGATGGCATCAAGCGCATGGGCGGCCCCACGACCAAAGTACCACGAGCTAAAGAAGAACGGGCACGCCTTCTGTTCCAGCTAGTGCAGAAGATGGCCTGAGGAGATATCGGCGTTCATCACGACGCTTCCGACAGTGATTCTGATGTTGGTTCCATGTTTGCTGACCCTTGCCCAGAGGTTTCTGTCCGAACAGCTGCACTTCGTAAAGAGGATCGGACTTCTCAGGGCATGGTCATTTTGCCTACTTCCGTGTTCTTGTTCCTCACTACCCTTATCCTCACCTGCGGAGTCGTTGTCGGTTACCAGCTCGTGCCACGGGATTTCATGACTTACAGCTACCTGAAGTACTTGGCGATCGAAGCCGTACGCAATCTTGCCATAGGATCAATGGGGACAGTGGGAGCTACGGCCGCCTTGGCCTCTGCACCACCTGAAGTCTGGAGCTCACCAGCGCCGGCGGGGGCGAGTCTGTTTCTGGCGGCACTTCCGTGGGCATTCCAGCGGGGGATGAGGTGCTTGAGGACGTGATGACTTACGGAGTTGCGGGAGCACGTATGATGCCGTGGATGCCTTCATGGTTGACCCTCTGCTCCTCGGCATCTCCCAGGAGGGACATCATCGCGTTTGTCCGTAGCTGAGTTGGCTGAGTGGGGAGTTCGCAGACGCACGCACGCTCCAGTCTGTCGCAGCTCGGTGCCATGCCAGTCAGCCGCAGGATTGGATAACGAGAGTTATCGCCACAAGAGAATCATCATCATCATCCCCTTTACCTCCTCCTCCTCCTCCTCCTCCTCCTCCTCCTCCTCCTCCTCCTCCTCCTCCTCCTCCTCCCCCAGCTCCTCCCCCAGCTCCTCCTTCGCACTTCATATTGCCAGACCCTCAGCGAGGGCGGACCAGACCGCAGGGACGCCACGCCAGACCCAGCCAGCCATCGGAGAACCCTGCTCAGGGAAGACGCCCTCCCCACTCCGCCAGGCCCCACCGACCCCGCCGCAGCCCCACCCATGCTGCACCGCCTGCCCCCGCGGGCCCGGGGCGCGCCAGACCGCGGCGAGGCCGCACCAGACCTGGCCAACCACAGGTGGAGGAGCAGGAGGAGGAGGAGGAGGAGGAGGAGGAGGAGGAGGAGGAGGAGGAGGAGGAGGAGGAGGAGGAGGAGGAGGAGGGGGAAGAAGAGGAGGGGGAGGAGGAGGGGGGAGGAGGAGGGGAGGAGGAGGGGAGGAGGAGGAGGAGGAGGAGGAGGAGGAGGAGGAGGAGGAGGAGGAGGAGAAGAAGGAGAAAAAGGAGAAGAAGGAGGAGGAGGAGGTGAGATGAGAGCAGTCGCGAAGCGAGTATACAAGACGCAGCCCCCTCTCTGAGCTTCGCTGAGAAGGCCCCCCGCCGTTCCTCCGCCCAGGGCGCGCCAGACCGCGGGGAGGCCGCACCAGACCTGGTCAACCACAGGTGGAGGAGGAGGAGGAGGAGGAGGAGGAGGAGGAGGAGGAGGAGGGGGAGGAGGAGGAGGAGGAGGAGGGAGGAGGAGGAGGAGGAGAGGAGGAGGAGGAGGAGGAGGAGGAGGGGGAGGAGGGGAGGAGGAGGAGGAGGAGGAGGGAGGGGAGGAGGAGGAGGAGGAGGAGGAGGGGAGGAGCGGAGAGCAGGAGAGGAGGAGAGGAGGAGGAGGAGGAGGAGGAGGAGGGGGAGGAAGAGGAGGAGGAGGAGGGAGGAGGAGGAGGAGGAGGAGGAGGAGGAGGAGAACTGCTATCTATCGTCATCGTGCCCTCCCCACTCCGCCAGGCCCCACCGACCCCGCCGCAGCCCCACCCATGCTGCACCGCCTGCCCCCGCCGCTCCACGGCCGGGGGCGCGCCAGACCGCGGGGAGGCCGCACCAGACCTGGCCAACCACAGGTGGAGGAGGAGGAGGAGGAGGAGGAGGAGGAGGAGGAGGAGGAGGGGGAGGAAGAGGAGCGGGAGGAAGGGGGGGAGGGGGAGGAGAAGGGGCAGGAGGAGGAGGAGGGGGAGGAAGAGGAGGAGGAGGAGGAGGAGGAGGAGGAGGAGGAGTAGGAGTAGGAGTAGGAGTAGGAGTAGGAGTAGGAGTCAAGCTAGCCAGCTCGAGCGAGTCAAGCATGGCATGCCCAGTCCCACCCGCCCTCCCACAACATAAGAAGCAAAGCTGGCACAACTGGGGGCCGAAGTCACACCGGCCAGCCGGTTTGGTACAGCTGATGCGGCCGCGATGGCGGTTGCCGACGGGAACTGGCGAGCGCGTGTTGAATGCCGCGCACGCATTGCCAGACGAGTCGAGAATGGCCCGGTACACCGCAGGAAGCCAGAGGTGGCCGTGTCGAGAACGGCCCGGTAAGCCGGGTCCCATTCCTGCCATGCATTTTGCGACGTGGACGACAGGACGTCCATGCGACGGTGCCAATGACGGCGACGACTCTAGAAGGATTTGAGCATGCGCTCGCGGCGACGCGCGCGCAATTCGCCCGCGTGGTATTTTTTGCACAGGATTCGCGGCCTGGGTGCATGACAGAGCATCGCGAGTGCACCGCGCGATGACGTGAAATCGCTGGATTTGACCGAATTCTTAAGATTCCTATGGTTTTCCTATGATTTCAGCAAGAGAGCCCGGGCAGGAAATTTGTAGAATGTTTGTGAAAAAGCATTGGTGTTTGATGTTTTTATGTTGAAATGCTTGCAAACACACGGTGTTCGGTAGGATTCTGACATGAACGCACGCGTGTGCTCTTTGTGGCATTTTTTGCAATGGATTATCGCCGTGGACGACAGGACGTCCATGTCGAGAGGAAAAAATAAGAAAAATGTTGATTTTGTATTGTTTTTTACCGGTTAGGATGGGACCACCCGGATTGGGCCCCTATCTGCCGGCCTGAGGGGGGAGTAGGAGTATATTCTAATAAGGAATAAGGATAGGAGGAGGAGGAGGAGGAGGAGGAGGAGGAGGAGGAGGACTGCTATCTATCGAGCATCGTGCCCTCCCCACTCCGCCAGGCCCCACCGATGCCGTCGCAGCCCCACCGGTACCGTCTGCCCCGCCCGTGCCCCCCCCCCACGGGGAGGGCGCCCCAGACGGCAGTGGCGAGGCCTCGCCCGGCCGCGCTGGCCATCGGAGGATACTGCTGCGTCCTCGCGCCCGTGGCTCTCTGCCTCCTCCGCGCGCGCGGCCCAATCGAATCCCTTGTGTGGGAGAGGAGGAGCTCCGATGGTGCATGCTGCTCCTCCCTCGTGCCCCCACCTGCTGGTGAGGCGTCTGCCCCCGCCTGTTTTGCCAGCCTGCACGTGAGCCGAGCAGCGCTGCCCTCTGCTTGTTCAGTCCCAAACCTGTGAGCGCAGGCACTGAGACTGCCGCCCCCATGCGCCGAGCGAGCGAGGCTCCGGGGGGGGTTAAGGAGGAAGAGGGACGAGGAGGAAAGGAGCGGCGGAGGCCGAGAAGGAAGGAGGACGAGGAGTGGGAGGGGGAGGAGGGAGGAGGAGGGAAGGGCCTCGTCGGAAGCTGAATTGCCCTCCACCCTTACTTGGGGGGGACAAAGAGGCACTCTGGGTTTCTTAACAAGCGTGGGGTGGTACATACCCCCCCCGCCTGGGGTCAACCTCGCCTCGTCGTCGCGCCGCGACAGAGGCCAGAGCGCCTTCGGTGCGCGGTGGATACCCGCGACGGGGGTCGATGTGGGGCTGTCGGCGGGGGTGACGCCCCACCCCCGACGCTTATTAAGAAGCTCGGAGCACCCGTACCGCTACTTCGCGGACCTCTCCCGGGGCGCCTTCTGACCAGAATCTCAAGGAGAATCGCCAGCCGTGGCGGCGAGGGCGCTCTCCAGGACGAGCAGCGGCATCGGCACCTTCCCCTCATCCACCCCGCTAGGGGGACCGGGACCAACGTTAAGTCGGGCCTATCCTCCTACAGGCGAATTATACAGGAACAGCGAACAGTTGTCAAACAAATCTGTGAAACTAGCCAACAAAGAATCAAACAATAGTCCCCTCATTATTTTTGTATGACAATGTTTGAATGTTCCTCCTGTAGGGGGACGTGCCCGACTTAGGACCAGCTAGCGCGGGGCGTCGCCCAGAGCAAAATCCGACGGCGTCGTCGCGAGGCTGCCGGCAACTTCTGCCGGGTCCTGCGGAGGCGGGCGACGGAGATCCGAACAAGACAAGCGGGGGGGGCAGGAGGAGGAGGTGCAGCGCCAAATTTGCGAGGTCGAGCGCTCTCGAGGATGTGGGCGGAGATGGGTGCGTGGCGCATTTTTGGGGACCTCATGTCGATCCTGGAGGAGGGCCTCCCAAGCGGGGTCCGAGTAGATGAGGTCTGAAAATCGCGCCGCATCGCCAATGCAATGGCGCCGTCGGCGTGGAGACAAATCGTGCTCCGCTTCGAGCCGCATCGTCGGTGCATCGGCGATGCCGCGCGATCCTCCGACCGCATCTACAGTCAAACATACGATTAAGAAAAATGATAAGTTAAGAAAGCTGGGCCAGCTTTTCAGAAGTTTCTTATGGAAACGCTAGTCCAGCTTCCAGCTGTCCGGCAAGTTGGTTCAGGAACGCTGGGCCAGCTTCTCGGGGGGAGGCTTCTTAATCATAAGCGGGACCGTACTCGGACCCCATCTTGGAGGCCTGGACTGGAGGCACTCTGGATGGCCCGAACGGTCCTCTGGGGCGACCGGCCGGGCTGCAGCCAGAACATTCCGCCGAGCTCTGGCGGCCTTCCGCGCGAAGGGCGGGTGAATTCGGGAGGGCGTCATCATCACCGCCGTCATCAGAATCATCTTCTTCATCGTCATCGTCACCGTCATCACGATCGCATGTGTTTCGACATTGCCACCGTCGATGACGGATACCCAGAGATCCGACGTCGTGATTTTTTCAATACGGGGCCCCCGGAGGTCTCGACCCGTTCCCCGGGACCGGTTTTTCATCCTGAGTCGTTTTTTGACGGTCCTGGGGCCCGGCGAGGGCCCCTTGAGGCCGAAAATTGTGAAAAACCTCCGTCTTGATTTTTTCAATACGTTGGATCTCTGGGTATTTGGTGTGAGCTTAGCTCTCTGGATGGTTTACCGACATCGTCACCACTACGGTCGTACGACGCTGTCCGGCCAAATGCACTCACCGTGCTGCCAGAAGCAACGCCGAGCTGGGAACCAATGGGGCCCTCCTGGCCACGGCGGGCCTCAGAAGTTGGAGGGGGACGGGGGTCCTCCTCCTCCTCCTCCTCCTCCTCCTCCTCCTCCTCCTCCTCCTCTTCGTCCTCTTCCTCCTCCTCCTCCTCCTCCTCCTCCTCCTCCTCCTCCTCCTCCTCTTCGTCCTCTTCCTCCTCGTCCTCCTCCTACCCCCCTCCAACATATGGTGGTGGTGGTGGGAAACAGGCCCCTCAAGCCTCGGCCACGAAGAGGCTCCGCGACCCAGCTCTGAGCAGCGGCCCGAAAACCCGAGCCCTTCCCGCGCCCAGTGCGGTGCCTCGCGCTCCAGGGGGCCGGTGGCCCGGGCCCCGCGCCCTCCACGCAGCCCGCTGCCGTGGCCCCCGGCCGTCGAGTGTGGACGCCCGACGTGGGTGCGGAAAGGGAGGGGGCCCTGGGACACACAGATCAAGACACACGAACAACAGGATTCCCCGATACTTTCCCACGTGTTCTGGGTGTTTGTCTTCCCCCCCACTTCCCGTAGTTTTCCACATTTTCTGGGTAATCGACGAATAATTGTGTCTGTCTGTTGTTGTTTTTCTCTTGAGGAAAGAAGGGTACAACGCCGAACAGCAAGTGTTGTCCAAAACCGACAGCGGCCGCTGTCGGGCAGCCTCAAGGGACAACGTCCGCGGCGATGCCGACAGCGAGTCCTGCTCAGAATGAGCAAGAACTGCTGACTGGTCTTCGTACCCATTCTTTCCGCCCTCCGGACTTCATCATAAACGGGTAGCGGTCTGATTTCTGGGGGGAGTCTCGTTTGAGCTGTCTTGGAGGGTTCCAGTGGGGTGAAAAAACTGCTCGCCTGCCAGGGTTGTGACCCCCCCCCCTTTTTCATATTTCAAGATTTGGAGTACCCAGTTTGGTCATCCAGATCAGCGCAATCCGTTGCCATCGCCCCCGACCCTCCCAGAGAGGGACCGCACCACGGGACCCCCTGGGCCACGAGGCCCCCTCGGGGATCTTCTGACCCCCGGGTCAATCTAGACCCGGGTCAGCAGGAAACCAAAAACTGCAATGCAGGAAAAAAAACTGCAACGCAGGTCTTCGCATACCCAGGTCAGCCAATACGAGCGGCCGCCTCGCGGCCATGAGCGGCTCACTAACCGGGGGTCAGCCAGAGGGGGCCTTCGCAGGATCCTGCAGGATCTGGCGCTCTGGCTGACCCCCGTTTGCACTGACCCCCCGTCTCTTAGGCCCCGACCCTCGGGACCTGCCACCACGCCGGCCGCTCGGGCCGAGCCCCCCCCCCGCAGGGCTGCGCGGTTGCCACTGGGGTCCTCGTACTGGACCGGCAGCATGCGCGGCTGCGAAGCGGACTGCCACGAGTGCGCGAGCTCCTGCGATGGCTGGGCGCAGGATGGGGACACAGGGCAGAAGTAGGCAGGAGGAAGGAAGGAGGAGCGTGGAGCAGGGGGGGATGGAGAGGGACAGGGAGAAGGGAGGAGGGAGGGGGAGAGGAAGGAAGTAGCGTGGAGGAGGGAAGCAGGGGGGACGGAGAGGGAGGAGGGGGGAGGGGGAATAGGAGGGGTAGGAAGGGAAGGCGAAGGAAACCGTCAACAAAGCCTTGGCTGTCGACGAAGACGCGCACGAGTCTCGCAGCAGTGGCCACCAGGTGGAGCAGCGCCCACGCCTCGGCACGCTGCGCCGGCTGGGAGAGGTCCCACGCAGGGGGGCTGCACAGTTGAGCCGATGCGCAGGACCACTTCTGATCCCGTACGCGGCACGGGCAAGGAAGTGGTAGGCCTGATTGATGAGAATAGCAAGCAAGACACCCACCCCCAATACAATAATCGCCCCGAGAAGCGAGGCCGTTTAGTAAACGCACCCAAAGAAGGAACCGAACAGGGCAGGGCTGTTTAGCAAACGCCCAGGGCCGTTTAGTAAAAGCCAATTATCGGGTCCCCGTGGTTCTTTCTCCCTTGAAGGAACTGGCACTGTCAGTTGCCGCGTGGACCGACCTCGCGTCTGTGCCTGGGCCGCTGTACTCTTGGTAAGTAAATGCAGTCTGCTTCACACCTCTCTTGGGCCGGCCTTAGGATGGGCTGCGGGCGGGGGTCTCTGCAGAGCTCGGCCTGGAGGCCGAGGAGGCCGAGGAGGAGGAGGAGGAGGAGGAGGAGGAGGAGGAAGCGCGTGTCCTCGGCGAAGATGCAGCAACGGCGCGTGTGCGGGGGCAGCGCGCCCCACGGTTCTTCGGCGAGCATGCACGCGAGGGGGCGGCGATGCTGGGCCCAACAACGGCAGCGCCAAACAATGTGATCTTCCGTCTACAGTATTCTTCCTCGTCGCGGTAGCGGCACATCTGGGATTCGTTGGTTAAGACGCCGGCCCGGGCAGTGCGCTGCTGCGTGTGCTCGCCACAACGCAGGTAATTGAAGAGGAGGCGTCGCTGCCACGGGGCGCAGCAGGCCTTGCTCTGGTGCGGGCAAACCAGGTCGTGGCGCAACGCAGGCTGATGGTTAAGAACAAGCACATCGACGACCACAATTGAGCCGCGGTGGGATGGCAACGAATGTATTGGCCTCTGCGGGCGATGCCATGCCTCCTTGCGCCTCCGTCCTGTTGACCTCCTTCTCGTCTTGTCCTGTCCTCCCATTTCCCCACTGCCTCCCCCTCGTGCACCTGTTTCCTCGCCTCGTCGCCCAACCGTCAAGCCAAGGCGACTACGACGGCGATGGGGCGACGAAGGACCGACGACCGACGACGGCCGACGGCCGACGGACGACGACGACAACGCGCTGCGGATGCCCGATTGGGGAGGGGGGGGCTGGGGTGCTGCGCAGGGCAGCTGTAGCCGACGACCACAGCGACGGGGCGACGACGGACGACGGACGACGACACGCTGCGGATGCCTCATGGAGGGGGATGTGCTGCGCAGGGCCGCCGTGGACGACGACGACGACGACGACGACGACGACGACGACGACGACGACGACGACGACGACGACGAGGGGGCGGACGGACGGGGAGAGTGAAACTATCAAAAACCAGGTCTCTTCCCATATCCTTGTCCGTGGTCGTTCCGATTGTGGAATCATTCGGGGGCGGCCAGGCGGGGGGCGTCCAAGGGGGGGGGCGCCAATCATGGCTGGCGGCATGTGCGCGGCCCAGGGGGAGGGCCAGGGACGTAATGAAATAAGAAGAGGCGCCATGAAGTCTGAGGAGATATCATGGCCCCCGCCTTGAGATTCCCCCCACCCTAGTCATCACCCCCCTCTTTGCCGCCCCCGGATCATGGGGTGAGGGGTGGTCCTTCAGTTCCTAGTCATTGGCACACACTGCATGTCGACCCCCTGCGGGATTTGATGGAGGGACCCTAGGTAATGCCGGACCTCGGGGATACGCTGCAGAAAAGCGCATCTCTGGGACGCCTTCGACATGTGCGCGACACTGCCCGCTGGATCGTCGGCCTACAGAATGTCGGCGTCCCGATCGCCACGCATCTTGCAGCATTGGGGCCTAGGTCCATTCAGGCTGCGTCACCGTGTGCCCAAGGCCCCGAGGCCCCGAGGAGGAGCAGGAGGAGGAGGAGGAGGAGGAGGAGGAGGAGGAGGAGGAGGAGGAGGAGGAGGAGGAGGGGGAGGAGGACGAGGAGGAGAAGCCCCCATTGCCCCCCCACCCTCGCTGGGTTTTGACGGCGCCGTCGAGAAAGTGGGCCATGTCACCCAGCAGCCCAAGCTCACGGCGAGCCTGGCGGTGGTCATTTCGCATTGCGTGATGGCACGCAGGTCGAGCGCGCGCCCTGGGACACCCGTGGCGAGCATCATTTCGAACGAGATCCAAGCCCGGCCGCATGGGCGAAGGGCGGCGAAAAAAGGGACTGGCCGAAGGCCCGCTCGTCGCCAGTCGCTGGGCGCCTGCACGTCGGTGCCTGCGGGAGAGACCCTGGCGACCAAGAACCGAACGATCCCGGTCATGCCCGCCATGCCCACCGGCAACCGGGCCGCGAGCGGGCGCCGAGCCTGTGCCTTATAGGGCACGGGCATCGGCAGCGTCGGCCATTGGCAGCGTCGGCCAGATTGAGCTCGTGGAGCGCGGGGCGGGGGCGGGGACCACGTCGATGTAAGATCCACCCGCAATCAC